AATCGGGGACACCGGCGGGACCACCCCCACCCCCCTTCCCCGGACGGAGCACGGAGTAAGTAAAGCGACCAAGCGGTTCCACCCCGGCCCTGAAGCCTCTTTTCTTCCGAAGAGGAAGGAGGCTTGTCTCGGTTACACTGGACACCGGCGGGACCACCCCCACCCCCCTTCCCCGGACGGAGCACGGAGTAAGTAAAGCGACCAAGCGGTTCCACCCCGGCCCTGAAGCCTCTTTTCTTCCGAAGAGGAAGGAGGCTTGTCTCGGTTACACTGCCACCGCCCCCCCCCGTTTCGTGGGGAGGGGAGGGGGGGACACACGACGCCCTTTCCCCGCCCCCTAACCCTTTCGCGTAGTCTGCCTCCCCCAGACCAAAACTGCAGTTTCTCTCTCCCGCCCATATAGCCCGCAGTGCTCGGCAGGGGAGAGCGGAGGGGGAAGCTTGTTCTCCTGCCCCCCCCAACACCCACCACCTCGGATTCACTGCCTTGTTGCCTTTTCCTCAGGAGAAGGATAGTATAGCCATGAAGTTTCAGTTTGCCCTCATTTGGGGAGACCTCCTCCTTAGGGGAAAAGTTTCTCTGTTCAGCAGACTTTGGGAAAGAGTCCAAGATTTTTTTTAAAAAATAACCAAATCTTACCGTTTCCATTTGGAAAACCTCCAGAGATTTGTTAAACGGGTCTTGGTGTGTGCCCCCTACCATGTCTCTCAGTTTAAAGTTTGGAAGTCTAGGATTAATCCTTGTTTCTCTTCCCCCCCACACACACACTTCTTTTTTTAAAAAAAAAAAACCAACACTTCATCCATCCGGATTGGTTGTAACTGTGATCACAACCATTTATATTTCTTCCAGGAAGAGTGTGAGTGCTCTGGACAGTTCATTGATAATGAGAGTAGACCTGTATAAAAGAGCTATACAATGTACTTTTCTCTCGGAGATTAAGACTTTGCTCCACAGACTCTGTGGTGTTTTTTGGAATCATATTTATTATTCACATCTGACAGGAAGACTTCAAAAATGGCATTGTAATTTTTGTATGTGTGCGTTGGCAGCTTAGACATAGGCCATACAAGCACACTGTTGACAACTCACAGCTTGCACAAACACATTTCCTCAATTAATTACCTTTGTGTGTGATATTTGCGTAATGCTCTGTTTCTCATTCCTTGGTCACGTGGATGAAAACAGGCAGTTTTGTAGATTCATTGTTGTAGTAATTTCTGTTGTATTTTGGAAAGCTACATTTAAAATGGTGTATTTCTGGCAAGGAAATGTGACACTATTTGATAGACAGAAGAGTAAAAGGAGTTGTTCCAGGAGGACTTCTTATTGGTATATTATGTCTGCTCCAGGGCAAAACTGTGGCAAGCACTTTCTCACTTCTAATACAATTCAATAGTTTTTCAAGGTGAATTGTTTTGGAGACAAGTTTTTGCCCACTTTGTGTGACGTTACATACAAAGGAATTAAGCAGGAATCACTGTTGTTGCTTATCATAAGACAGAACAATTTATAACAACTTTCATAGGGCTTTCAAGGTAAATGAAATATTTAAGGAGTGTTTAACTAGTCCAATGCCCTCAGTGAGTTTCCATCGCTGAGTGGGGCTTCAAACCCTGTTCTCCAGAGTCCTGATCCATTATTTTATCACTACACCACACTGGGAATCAATGTCCGGAAATTACTGAGGGAGACATAAAGCTTCTTCCAGTTGATATACCATTCTGTAAATAAGGATAAGCCATAATTGAGAGGCCTTGCATTTGGGACTGAGGGACAAATACTTTATGCAGGAGACCACTTTCTTATGGTGAGGCCTTGTACTCAGTTTGTTGTTTGGTCATGGCTCTGCAGTGTTGGACATACAGTTGATATACAGTACAGGCTTTAACTTGTAAGAGCTTGCTCTGTTCACAGTACAGTATTTCCCTAGAAAACAGCATGCAGGATGCATTTTATCTTGTTAAGTGAAATAATACCTTTTTAATGAAGACTTGTTTCTCTGTTGTCCTCACTAGCAATTTGAGTCACATTTTTGTCATGATCAAATGTAAAAACAGCCTTTAGTTAAGTAAAGTAACTTTCCCTTATTTGCGTATGGGAAAACTGAGGCAGAATTTAGGAGAGCTAGTTCTCAGCTAACAGTTTTTAGCAAGGTATAAGAAGAAATGAAAATAAAGAAGTTATGAATTCATGTGCTTTAACTTTCTTATCAGCCAGTGCAGATTTACTAAGGTGCAACCTCTTGTAAATTTAAATAGGAGTAAGTACCACTAAAAATAATGAGATTGACTTCTAGAAGCATATAAACTTGCAGGGAGTAAACGGCTTAATCTTATTGAGACTTCTGAGTAAAACATGTTTAGGATTGCTCTATAATATGGCTGAGTGCTAATGATAGCCGTAATAGTTCTAGAGTATCTCCTGCAGAAATCTAATGATGCATTTCCATTTTAGAAAGTTATTAAGTGTGTTGTTTTGAAAGTATTATGGTTTAGAAAAGAAGACAGAAGCGTCTTATTTTATGCATTTGTATTTTAGAGGGGGGAAAAGAATGGTTTTCGCTGAATCCAATTAACGCCAAACCTTCTGTCTCTGAAGAAACAAGGTTGAGATTCAATCCCTACAGCTTTCTTCCTATGTAATATTTTATAGTTAATGCCGAACTGATCCAGCATATAATTTCCACAGTGTCTTCCTTTGGCTTTATGTATACTGTATACAAATACATAAGACAAAATGAAATTGTGAGTCATTTTTGTTTTACCAGACCTTCTTATTTATAATGCGCTAAAGATCTAATCAAAGTACATCTATTGCAAGCTTCATAATAGCAATCTTGTTGTACCCATGGGCCTCTTAGAGTTTTCAAAAAGGTTCCATAAATGGTTAACATCAATGTTGGAAGCATTTGTCATAGAGATTTGAAATCCAGCTAATTTCCCACTTTAGAAGGCTTCAGATCCAGTTTTAAACCTGTACAAATGATAAGGCCTAGGTTCCATTAAATTAACCAGCATTCCAAGTTTTGAGAACAAATCACTGATTTTGAAGTTGTTAAACTGTTGAATATGAAACACTGCATTCACCACATTGTTTTAATTTGTAGTCACAAAACATGCATATTGGTTTTCACATTCAAAGATTTATAGTTTCCATGTAAAACCTTTTTGCATTATTTTTACTTAGCACATAGTAGAAAGTTATGTTTAAATTTGATAGCTAAAGCATGGTTAAATGTTTCTATATAGAGGCTATTAAATATTTTGTTAGGCACATGTTGCATTTGTATGCCGAGTACATCATACAAAACTATTCCCAGTTTTGCTAGTTTTCTGATACATACTACAGGAAGAGAAGCAAATTACTGCCAATTTTTATATTGTCAATGGGAGAGTGTCCAGTGTTTCTTCCTGCCTTTGTTGACTGCTAGACAAGGATTCAGAAAGTAGAATTTCATATCCTTACCCAGCTGTGAACTCACTTTTGGGGCTAGTCACTCTTTTTCTCTACCAGATTTACCCCACATATATGTAATGAGGCAAAAAGAAAGAGGAGAGCGGTCATGTATAAAGCATTGACTACTTTATAGGTGAACTACAGATATAGTAAAGTAACTTTTTCTCAGGTTTTGGTGAAAATCAGTTGTGTACCTCAGACTAATTAAACCTGTGTTCTTGTGCAGTTTTACATGGAGTATATCCCATTGCATACAGTAGGGTTTACTAATGAGTAAACATGCATACAAATGGGCATGTCCATTCTCCAAAGTGTGACTTTCGTGTTTCATGTTCTTCACTATATACAGGAATATATTTTCTGTCTTTCTTCTTCCTGTTTGGTCTAAATCTAGACTGAAGAAAAATTCTAGGGAATTCAGAAAATTCCTAACAACTTTGTGAGTTTTCATTTTGTCCTAGTCATAGTTATACCAACAACACAATGTCTGAAATCATTTTTTTACCTTTTTGTATAGTGTAATGAGCTTTCTCAACTAATAAGACTTCATATTTTTAGAAATTAAACCAACACATTGGTTCTTTTGCAGGAAAGAAATCTTTAGATTTGAATGTGCAACTAACTGTACTGTCTGGTGAATATCTAGTGGAACTATATTCTCTAGCATATCTGAAGAAAAAAATGGTTTATATCATTAATATGCTGTCATCTCTGTGCAGGAAATTTTCTCTCTCATAAGCAGAGTTTCAACTGAAAAATGTGCTGCTGGTGGGAACTATATGAATGAGAGTGTGTTTATATATAAGAAAATGGTTTTCAGGCATTAATATTAGTCCTTAAGATAAAAACAAATTTTGCAATTCTTCTGAATACNNCCTTTTGCCACTTTACCCCCTCCCCCCCCCCCCCCGGAAGTAACTGGTGCTCAGTGAGGCTTATTTTCAGTAAAGTATGCATAAGGTGGTTAGGACCACTACTCCAAGTGTAAAGAGCATAATAATGCATTAGTGACCCTTTTATATAGGAGCCTGAACTGTAGACTGAAGTAAAAGTAATGACAATTTCCATAATCTGATGTTTTGCAAAACAAGTTAGACAGCTTTTGGTCCAATTTCCTTGTGAGACCTGTGCTTGTCTTGCAGAAACCATCAACCCTATTGACAGCAACTGGCCCTCCTTGTTTGCAGTTTCAGTGAAGAACAGAGACTGGATGCGCCATGGATTTCCAGTTGCCTCCCTAATGTTACCAAGTTTGGCAACAGAGTAGTGTCGGTTCACAAGTTCCCTCTTTTCATGAATTGCTTCCTGATCTATCCCATCAGTTGTTTAGTGTGCCTTATGAGCAAATACTAAATGGGATATACATTGTGACAATACATTCGTCTTACTCGAATTTATTTCATTAATAGTTAAATAGTAGCGGGTTTTTTTCAGTTGTTGACGAGAACGTGGCTATTAGTTAGCCTGAATCCATTCAAACATGGAGTTGATGTTCAAGTCTCATTGACCATACTGTGCAAGGCCAGACTACCATCAGGGATAACTAATGGAAATTAATATACTGTAATTGGTGCTGCGTTGTGTGAAGAATGTAAT